GTTATGCCTGCATATATATATATATATATATATGCATATATGCAGCGTGATTACAAGCGATGACTCGACTTGACTCAAGTCGAAAGACTCGATGAGATGACTGACAGAGTCATTGCCTGTATACCTATAGTCATTGAATTTTTGCATATATGCAGCGTGATTACAAGCGAATAACGATTCATGAGAATACGCTTCCTTGACTTTCACTTACGTTGTTATGCCTGCATATATATATATATATATATATGCATATATGCAGCGTGATTACAAGCGATGACTCGACTTGACTCAAGTCGAAAGACTCGATGAGATGACTGACAGAGTCATTGCCTGTATACCTATAGTCATTGAATTTTTCACCGGATCCAACGATACCCGAGTGCATTGACGCTTGCGCAATGTCAAAATTGATCAGAATCGATTACAATGACGTTTGACAGTCCGTCGTTAATTGATCGTCGTAAAAAAAAAATTTTTTTCTTCAATTTATCAAATTTTTGCCTTTATTATTCACCAGTGGGCATCGGACTATTTTTTTGGACCCTTCCCCTCGTATACTCGCGTCTCCGCGCACGCATGATTTTAACGCACGTAACAATTAAAGGGGTTAATTCTTAAGTGATTTATGACTCGTGGGATAACGCGCCTATTAACAATGGCTACCAAGAGGCAATAGTTACGCAAGGCCAACAACGTATCCAATGATTCTTCAAGCCCGTCGCTCTTTAACAGAGATCTTTTACACGTGCTCGCATGGGCACGATAAATATACACACGCGGTGATAACGATTGATTAGTTTCGTAATTAGAAGTCACGGTCGTCTCTTGTCGTCGGAGGTACGAATTTTTATGTAAATTAATGAAAAATCGATTAATCAATTGATCACGTAATTTTTTGTTTCCCATTTTGGATTTTATTGTCACTTTGGGGTGACTGAAAAAACTTTTTTTTTTTTTTTTAATATAACAAAACTTTTGTTTGGACATTTTCGATTACCTCACACGACGATGCTTCGAATTAATGTCAAGGCTCTTAGGAAAGTGACATGGGGTTGACGTATGTGTACATACGTGACATCCGCGTATGTCGGGTCTATGGGAATGTATATATGGGGACAGTGCAGTATGGTGGTCTGCATGAAATGGGCCATACGGGTTACACATACTCTGGCATCGTATTTCTAAACTGTTATCCTATGTGTTTTCATGTGTGCTATTCGATTACATATGTGCTGCTTTTTTATTCGATATACAACAGTGACTTGCGGGATTGCAGTTTGTTTTTGATGCTTGTTAAACGGTACTTGTTTTCGTGTTTCGAATCCAAGCAAGATGATTGGTAGACGCGAGTTACTTATCTTGATTGGGAATTTGTAGCTGGAGAATATTTTCTGCTTGAGATAGTCAGGACGACCCTCCTTTTCTTATTTTTGTTATATACATGGATATGAGCAGATAGGAAATTGAAAATTGAATATTATTATTATTTTTTGTACGATTATACGATTAAACTTTGATCGAGGTGAATAAAGATTTTTAATTTTTTTTTTTAAGGGGGCTATGTTTTTTTATTTTACTGTGTAATTTGAAAAATTTTTTTCTCGACAGCATCTCCAGTCGATACAATTTTTCAGTGCATTTTTCACATCGGCCGTTATGATGCACTCGGATCGATCATGCATGAAAAATGAGTGTATCAGAGTGAATATACGAAAATGATTAAAAATAAATAGTTACATGAGAAAAATCGTATTTGTATGCAGTTATAATGATCGAGTCGAAAATTGTAGCGAAATTTTGGAAAAATTCGTCATCTTTGTCGGCAACCAGCACCTTCGCGAATGTTTTGGCAACGAGTTCCGATACTCTGTTGGCCACTAGGGACTTTATTTCTGTCCACAAGGGATCTTTCATGCGGTTGCGTTTCGCCACGTATTCCCGGATCGTGTGTGTCACACATGCATATATGCATATAACGTGTTCGCGCGTTATTTGCGTAAAAACAAAATGCTGCAACGTGTATAAATAAAACTACTAGTTTCGTAATACACACTGTTACCAACCGTATATATAAAATATACCAAAATTACTTGAAAAGTCACAAAACAACAGCAGACAAATATTTCGATCATACCCAAAAGACTTTAAGCATAAAAAGATAAAAATAAAAATTTGAAATTTTCCTCCAAAAAAAAAATGTTATCAAATTAATTCTCAATCGATTACACGCATTTGCTTATCTCTCGTGCTCAAAGATAAATCAAATTATCGGGACACACCGAAAATTTCATTTTTCACGAAATTACCCGAAAATCGATGAAAAGTGTCAATATCAAGTATCCACTAATTAAATGTTTCTCACAATTAAATCGATAAACCGTCCAATCGCATCACAGGAAATCACTGCACTTCCCGCGCAGTCTGACCAATTTCACCGAACCAATTTACAGCTCCGCGATTTCGCTCCTTTCCCCCCCGAGAATTTATTGTGGCCGCCAGCACGAGGCTCGATTGCCAATTTCATCCCACGGTCACCGCGAGACGAGACGAAAAATCCGATCAATTTCCAATAACCACATAAGCATACGTAACAAATCCACATACGTATACCCGGCATATACACAAACGCAATAGCAAACACTGTAAAATGATTGAAAATCACCAAAAGTCCCTAGACGCCGATAACCGGGAATACTAGAAAAAGATAACTTCACCCTGCCGAACAACGAAGAAAACTATCTTATCTCGTTATCCCGAGATCAATCATCTTGTAAAACTAACGTACAATCCCATATCTACACGTCAGAATATATCCTGAACTCAATCTTCACTGAACCATATAAGACACAACAATGAAATTCAGTCAATTCGTTACCCACCTATAATTCACTTTATCATACATACACGTGTATTACATTTCTATATATACCAAAGGGTCACTAGTACCAAAATTGATGATCAGTAGATTTGAGTCGCCTAAGACAAACTTCAGCCGATACCTTTAGTCTTGTCTATTCGGATATATCTTGTTCCCTTGCTTACTTCACAGCTCTTACCACTTGCATCCAGTCTCTTCTCCCGTCTTCCCTCTCGTCTCTCTCGTCCCAGCGCAACAGTACCGTTTTACCTTCCTACCGTTTCCATCACTTTCTCTCCCGGAACTTCGAGGGCTCATTATCAATCACCAGCCAGAACCCTGACTGGATATCAGAGCCACGCAGCCAAGTCAAACTCACCGACTGGTCTGTTGCTTCTGTTTTTGTTCCTCTCCGTCACTCGGTCCCACTTTCTTGCTCGCTCGGAAACAAATCAAAGCACTCAGCCCACGAGGGTGCTTCGCCCCGGAGCCAATACAAAAGGTGTCAAGGACGTAGCGAAGAAGTTTCCTCACGTAACGCTACGTGAACTCTTCACGGATTCCCCGATCAGACGTCTTCACGCTCGAGCAGCATCCGACACCATTATTGACTCTGATCGAAGTTCGATCTGAGAAAATCTTTTTTTTGGCTGCAACCTCACGAGAATTTCATGAGATGCTCGAGAGAGCCGTCAGGGATGAGAATGTTTGGTTTGTTTGATTTTAGCGGGACGGGGGATGGATTCTGGGATGATTCGATGACGGGGTCAAAGGTCGACCGGATGAGGTTATCGACATGACGAAAATTAAAGATCCATCGGTGGTGAAAGTTTTTATTCGTTTGGCAAGACCGATCTAGAGATTCCTGTAGGACTATCCGACGATCCCGGTGTAACGACGCCGGGCGTCGTCGTACGTCCCAAGGAAATAACAAGCACGAGGGTCGTGTTAAACGAGACGTCTAGTGGATTCGCGTAAGCATCTTTTTTTTTCACGAAAGTCTGTAGGGACCAGGGTCGAGGGTCAGTGACAGGGGTGAATGGGTAGGAAGGGACAGACGCTGCTGGTTACCCGAATTCAAATTGTTGGGCTTTACCGCGCTTTTATTTTCACGGGAAATACCGTCGAGTCCCTGAACGAGTATAAGGGGTCCTGAAATTGGAGGCTGAATCGATGGCGTCGAAGCTGTCGTTTTATTTGGTTGAAACGTCAATACGTGCTACTGGTAATGATATTTTTTTAATTCCCATCCACTTTCCCCTCTATTTTTCTTTTTTTTTTTGATTATCTTTATTGCTGTTCTTGCTCTTTCTGTTCCTGCCATTCCTTATCCTCGACTTCTTTCCGGACTTCCTCTCTCACTGTGCCGATGCCAGACCCACCTTCTGGCCTTTCTCTCTACACGAGACGTCTTATTTTTTTTTCTCGTTCCCCTTTTGCCTTTTCTCTTTGTCTTTCTTTGTTTCTACCGTCTTCTCTCTCTCTCTTTTTTTTCTCTTGCTTCTTTCTTCCCACCCATCCCGCCCCCTGTCCACTGCGCTCGCTGGTTCCTCGAGGTGGCATTGTCTTCGTGGCGAGTGGTTCTCAGGGACGCGTGGGAAGGTTCGCAGGGGCTTTAAACTTTAAACTCGAGCCGGCAGGGCACTCTAACCTAATTTGCTCAAGTTTACCGTGCAAACGCACGGGTTTAATTAATTAAGTAATTACGACGACGAAGGCCGCACTGAAAAGAAATTAATTTATTATCGTAATTAATTGCGTACCACTTATTTCCTCTTGTTCTTTCGTACTCTTCGTACTGTCATTCTTTTGTCAGTTCCGTCATTGCTTTTGGGTTACTAGGAAAATCGGGGAATCCCCTTCTTGTTTTTTTTTTCACTTGACAATTTTCGCACGATTGAAATAAAAATTACCAAACGTATATTAGTGTCTATACATATTTAAAAATTCAACATACATTCAGCCACTGTAAGATTGTCGTATAAAATGTAATATACACATATAAAATTAAAAAATATTCATACTCATGTTTTTATGGTTAATTTTTTTTTTATTTAAAAATTTTCGTATCCTTTTGTCGTTTGCATGCCTTGGATTTTAATTACAGTATAATTTATTTCTTTTCTTTCGTTTTCTGTTACAGCCGAAAGAATTCCATTGTTCTGCGGACTCAGCTATCCGTACGCGTCCACACTATTATCGGTAAGATAACACACGACTTCCTCTAGATATTTTCATGTGATATAATGTTCGCGCTTAGCTGGCAAAATTATTTTGTGAAAGGGCTTCTCATATCGGATTATGATGATTGTGAGTCGAGTCGGATTCTGATTAACGAAATCATATAGACTGATTAGTAGACAATACCAACTGGATGGGGTAAATAGTTGCAATTGATGTTATTAATGCGTCAGCGGGTTTCGATGCGATTTCTATGTTTGATTTGTACACATATGTATCTATTTCACACGTATATATTCATATGTGCAAATATGGGGCTGCAACGGAGTTTTGGTAAATTATTGAATTTTACGATATATAGCATGCTTTCAATAAATTACACGGCTAAGGAAGAAGGGTCAGTATGATGAATGAAATCCCTTTTGGCAATTCCCTTGGGTCAGTAAGGTACACGGAAAAATATTTGGTAGGCCGTGGGGGGTTGGTAATATCTACTGGCATCATATGGGGCAGCTACTGCTGATATATTTCCCAGAAAGAAAAGTCCCGGCGAAATATGTACTGGCGAGATATGACGTATTCAATCAAGTAGAAAAGATCCGACATACGTCAGGCATACCTAAAAAAAATACCATATGCTGAATATGAATTAATCCTGTAACATCATTAACAACCATATATGTGGGTGATGTTAAATCGTACTATGCGCGAAAAAAAAATATTTTGAAAATGCGGTTCCTTGAAAATTTTATTAATTTAAAAATCAATAGTGTCTGGTTATAACGTTTTAATTATTCGCTGATACTGACTTAGAGAGATGTATGTATATGGGTTTACATGATAAGAGATTTTTATAAACGTCAATGACGCTTTTGATTATTTATTTTACAAATTGATAAATTTAAATTTTCATGATCCGTTCTGACTGATCTTCCCAAGTAGATAAAGCCGTAGTGGACAGACACTAGAATTTATAACCCCACTGACAGAAATGCATTGTTTGAATGCTAAAATTGAATAAATACATTAATTTTGTATATTTCTATTGAATTTTGAGTCAGTACGGCCTTTTTGATTGATAATTAAAAAAAACATTGTGTCAAAATACCATCGAACCGCAATTTCATCCTTGGCCACGCCAAATTCAGTGGTTACGTATGTATGTCTACCTGTCGGGCATTTTGGTACATTGAACTCCATTGGGCTGTCAGGGTCCAGGAGTAAAGCGACGATAAAAGGGTTAAAAAAACAAGGAGAGTTTGCCGAGCGTCGAGGCATTTTACATATTTTAACGGTTCCTGCATCTCTCAGCCATGGAGCCCATTTGGTTTGTCTGCTCTCGGCATATTCTTCCCTGACGTTGCTGCTGCTTCTTCAGCTACCGCTGGTGCAACGGTGCACCGGTTGCACTTAGCTATGTATCATGCAAGAACGTTGGTTGCATCTTGCATTTACTGCACCTGCAACACCGCAGTAACCAGATCGGGAACCGAAAAGCACTCTGCGAATTTCTTAGCAGACTCAATTTGAATTCTATATAAATATATTTATATATATATATATGTATATATATATATACGTATTATGTATGAGTAGACACATATAGGTAGCATAACTGACAGCACGTGTCAAACTTATGGATATGTCAAATGAGTATAGCCTGTTACGAGTGCAGTGTAGGAAAAAAAAAGTTCTCACGTATATTTTCCCCTCAAAAATTCCCTAGGGAATTTATAGGGAGTTTCAAAAGCCCTCGGGGCAATCTGACGTCCTCCTGGATGCACAACGTGCTGCACTCTCTGACCCGTCAGGATGCGTCGAGATGCAGAGGGTAAGCACGTGGGTGAATCGACAAAGAAGTGCAGGGCCGTAAAGCCCGGGGTACCTGGGTCCGCTATTCTTAGAATAAGGGGGGTCACCATCTCCTTTATCAGTTCCACCTTTTCTCTCTTTCTTTTTTTCTTTTTTTTTATTCTCCACTCCTTCTGCACTCTTCTTTCTGGGCCCTGGTGCCACCCTACTCCAACGCTCTTGGCCTCTGCACCGTGCCCCTGCAGCGAGCTCCTAATTATCTGCGCCTCCTCGACTCGTACCTGCTTACCAGTACTGCAGTCAGATGCACGTGCACCACGGGATGCATAATACATTGAAAGATTGCGTGATAACCAGCGATTATACCACTCTCTGGTACTTATTGCAATTTCGATCCCTTTCCTCGAATAAGGGACCCCTCAAATATTAAAATGCATCGAGGGGAACCAATTGCACTTGGGACAGGTTCTTCTCTCGATAGCGGTACATGAAGTGCATCCGTTGCACTTTGTCGATAAATTTGAATGCAGCTTAACAGGATATGTCGGTTTATCTCGAATTCCGATTGATTCCTCGTGATTTTTTTTTCACTTAAATTTTTATTCACTCCTGTCGATGCCCCCCCCCTTCCCATCAACCTCCTCCCTCTCCGCCAACCTCGTACGATTTTTAGTTGTTATTTTTACGACACTCAATAGTATATACATATATATAAGACACGTGTAGTCGGTCCACGTGCTTCTTTTTTGACAGATCGATAAACAACAAAGTCTCTAAGCACTGCACACGTGTCACTGCATACAACGTTTGTCACAAAGTATTCATACGTTTCACACTGAATATATTTTATTTTTCTCTTTACCATATATTTACGATTTTCTATTTAAAGCCTAGTGGCGATTTTTGAAAATATTACATTGATCGAGAACTGTCAAAAAAATATATATATATTGAACTCCTGAAAGTGACTGTACCTATACGAACGAATGTCGTGTTTTTATTTCGCGCGTGCACCTAAAGATCCAAAAGCCAATCCTACACCAGCAAAGTAACGTGTCCAGATGTTACGTACAGGTACACTCGGGCCAGTAAATAAATAATTCAGTAAAATTATTTCTCCGCACGAGACTGTACGATAAATCCATAGAGTTTAAGGAAGCCGATCATTATCGTGCCGTATTACTTAATAGCTCCAAGACGGCAATATGGCGTTCTTATATTCCTCTCTTTCCTCCTCTCCACCCCTCGGCCCCTCTCTTCTTAACAAAATTCTCTGTCGCTCGTATAATTATACCAACCACTTTCTAATTTCGCCTCGCGTGGGCTTCCGTGAAGTTGGCTGACTAAGACCGTCTATTATCTACTGCCACTGAGCCTTCTTCCGTCTCTGTCTCTCTCTCTCTACCGTAACGTCCGTCCTTCCAACCCTCCACTGCCCCTCGTCGTCTCACTCAGTTTTTTCACCTCCCTTCATTCCCTCTCTCACGCAACCCCTAACTATCCACCAGTTTCCTTATGAATTACAATCACGGCAAACGTGCAGACCGGAAGCCGGTAGGCGGGCTGCCCCTATAACCACCTAACCTACTGACGACTAGGACCACGAAGAGGAGGATCCCAGCGAAAATGATTTATCTCCACTTTTCTCAAATCTTTACCGTTTTCGAACTAATTTACGAACAGATTTCACGGCTGACAGTCATCGTCATATCGATCGGCGCTATCCTAAGCGGCTGACACGGCCTATCGGAAGTGTCAGCCAGTCATTTGGGTTCCCAGTAGATCAATTCACGTATAAGACAAATACGGTTGACCGGGCAGCCATCGGATGTCGAAAAAAAATTTTTTTCTTTCCCCTTTTTATTTATTTCTACTTTTTTTTTTTGTATGGCACTGTATATCTGTATTTGACTCGTAAAGGGTTGTACTTCTCGATTACAGAAGATTCGATTTTTTGTCTCTCTAGTAGGGACGTAGAGAGCGTGGGAATGACGCTGATATTGAAAACGGATGAAAGCCAGTGGTAGGCAACCTAACGAAACCAAATGAAATTTTGCTATTAGCCATGCACTCGCGTTACGATGAAAGTACCAATAGTGGGAGGGTGGCTGTGGTAGCGAGTACGGTACCAACCATACCTGGAGGCTCGTAGAGAAATGGGTTGGTAGGAATGACTAGGTATTATACACGTATCATAAATGCATATACTATATATGACCCCTACGAAAAATTTCCCGTTAATAAAATTATGCCCTGAATTAATTACGGCCGGCGCTAATTGGAAGCCACCTGTTCGGTAATAGAAGAAAAAAGAGAGTAAAGGGGGTAAAGGAGTGAATAATATTTTCAAAAATTTTATACCTCAACGCTGCGTTGCCATAACACCAGGTGGCTCGGAAGGATGCAAGAAAGGCAGAAAATAACTCGATACCGGAATAAAATAAAATCGTGGAAGAAAAGGGATAGAAAAAGAAAATGGGTCGATGAAGTAGTTTCGTCGAGACGCTTGTTATTTTTGTTTCCACTCCCCTTTTGAAACACCCCTGGCGACGCTGATTGTTTTCACCAACTAGGTAAGGGTAGTTTTTTTGACGTCAGAAATAAATAGGCTCGCTTTTTTTTATTTTTTTTTTTCGTTTATTCAACCCTTCTGCCTTTGATACTATTTTCGAAAATAAGCCCTTCACTCTTGGGTGGTGTAATTACTAAAAAAATCCTCTGGGACGTCATCGTGGCTTTGGACGTTTTTTTTTTGCACAGTGTAACCATGTCTTTTCCCCCTATCGTAAAGTTCTCTGTATTATACGGCATGTGCACTATATGTGTATATTATCCGCGAAGAGACTCGAAACCAGTCGGACTAGTGGACTCGGACGGGTCCTATGTGTGGACCACAGACGGAAAGAGTGTATTTACTTTGAACGAGATTATAGAGCCGCGAGCTAACCTGTACATCGAACGCTGCTCATATGAATACGAGAAGGAGCGAGTTGAGTTCGTTTCATATATTTTTCAGCGAACAGTATGTTTCGAATGATATTAAAAAACGAAAAAAAAAAGAAATGGTAGGATAAAAGCAATCCGTATAATATTGGTGAATTATTTGGATAAAAGGATATGAAGAAATTTTTTAAATTTTTATTCGTTGGACACTTTTCATGTATAGTTAGTCCGTATATCACGATGGATCTAAAATTAAGGGACTTTTATAGGGCATTACCTAGCAGGGGTGGAAAACGAGAAGGGGTGCTGGTAATTCGAGTGACGTTAATTTATAATGAATTTATTGAAGATGGCAGCACTGTGTGGACAGTGATAAGGAAATGGAAAACTTAAGGGATGAAACTCATTTTTTTTTATTAGTCCATGCTGTATTAGGATGGCAATATTTTTATTCAATTTTCGAAATTCGTCCAAGGGCGGACGTCCACGTTTATATGTAACGATATAAAAGATATCGATATATATACGATGTAAACGATGGCTATTTCATTACAATAAACGTTGATATGCGAATTTTGTTTTTTTTCCAGAAAAATTACTCAACAGCGAAGGCCGTGAATTGCGCCGAGCATTGTTCTCCCTGAAGCAGATCTTTCAGGTGAGTTTTCAATTCCTTGAATTTGAATATACGTAAACGTTGCACGTGACTGTTACGGTTATTAAAATTCCAATTTTTTGGTTTGGTCGTTAATATTTTTATACAGTCGACAGGGTGCGTTATAATATTTATATTCGAAATTTTTTATGAGAAATTCCAAATGTAACGAAAGAACGAAATTAAAAGGAATTCGTGGAATTAAAAAAATTTTTTTACCTCTGTTTTTATGCTATTTTGATTTTATCTCGCAACCGTTGGAGGATCCTTGTCTCGATATAGCGATCGCATATATCTCGTGTCGTCGCGACGCCATCGTTGACATTACACAGGTCTTAAAATTCAATCTCGCGCTCTGATCCAGCTGCGTTCATCCCTTTCAAAAGGATTACGTACTCGTTCTGTTCTGGGTTATTGAAATCATGAGGCTTGAATTTTTCGACTCATCGAAATTTTTGGCGTCGCGACGCCTGGGTGCATATAACCACCCTGTCGTCCCTGTCGTCCCTGTTGTATATAACAAAGTGCCGCAGGAAAGTGTCTTGAGGCTCTCACGTAAATGGAAAAGTTTATATTGCACGAAGTTCATATACACACGATGTTTCACGAGTGTTCACGAACAAGCCCGAACCTCAGATACTCGTATAAATTAAATAAAATTATTGCAGGTTAAACGTACAAAAATTTTCGATTATAATTTCAATGACGTTAAAACTCTTTTACAGGAAGACAAGGACCTCGTGCACGAATTCGTACAGAATGACGGACTCGCATGTCTCATCAAGGTCGGTAGCGAGGCCGATCAAAATTATCAGAATTACATACTACGAGGTGAGTCAATTAATCAAAGTATTACGCACGCGTTCATTAAGCAAATTCTATCGAGGTAAAAACGAAAGGAAACAAATTATGTAAAAATTTTTATTGTTGCGTAATCTGCGTCAAAAAAAAAATTCCGCATTCCGCTTATCGATTGTCTATCGAACGATTTCCATTTGGATGCCATTTTTACGAGTCTACCGTTATTCAGAAATTTTATCGATTGGTATCGATCGATTGGCAGAACGGTACCGCGGTTCGAATCAATCACGTGAAACGAAGTAGATCCACAGGTATCACTTACTATATATATATATACAAGTACTTACATACTTGAAATTCACATCGAAGTGCACCAATGCATTCTTTGATTGCACTACTTGAAGTGTTCATGAAAGTTGAAGTGGCTTGCAAATTTCATGCACTCAATTCTCAATAGTCGATTCACATTGTTCGCAATTGGCAGCCATAGACTCTCACTTGAGTTTGCGACTTACGCCGCCGCGCGGCGCTGTCGCGTTTCTACACTAATCAAAGCTTTACCGTTATACTATGCAGCTACGGCCCTAATACATTATACAGTGGAAACTCGATTATTCGAGTTATATCGTATCGACCTTAGTTCGGACGATCGAAAAACTAGGTTAATACGGACTCAATTTTGTTAGCGAATAAAAGCACTTTTCATGTAATTAGGTACAGCTCAATCGAGTTTCTACATATATACACAGCGTTGATATAAAATATAGGGGAATTTATTAGAATTTATTGTTATCGTAAATTCAAATTTGGATACTCCTGTAAAATTGTTATCAACTATGCTTGCTGGAAGTAGTAAATTAATTATTCATGCTTTTGAAATTAATTTAACCATAATCGTACCCTAGTCATTGGCTATACCAGAAGCAACAATGATAACAGTACAAGTAACGTATTGTTGCTTATATATTACCGCAATTGGAAATTCGGCTATAATTTATTGATATATACGCAGTCACACACATATAGGATAAGGGATCCATGGATTACCTTAGGGATATATAGTTTGACAATGAGATAACATTGGGATTCGTGAAATCAGCCAAGCAGAACCGGATATCGATTACAATTGCCATGCAATCCATATCCGCATTGCTAATTAGTATCGGCAATGTTAATTACTTTGGTAGAACGAAATTTACATTGACGAATCATTTTGTTTCGAATCGTTTGAAATTCGTATTTTCGAACGTCAATTGTCATTGGTACGCTGCGCAGTCGGGCTGCGCATTGATCACTTTTGTAACGTAAATTAATTGTAGAATTTTCGCAATATTTTTTTGGTACCGCTCCGAGAAATTTATTTGCGGGTAGATAAAAGTATTTCTTTCTTTTTTTTACCCGATAACGAATGCGAGAGAAGTGAACAAGGGCTGTATAAATGTAAAAGAAAACGGCCGATGTCACTGTCGAACGAGACGTAAAATTATTTCCGTTTTCGGTTTCGCCTCGGCTGCAAGTAGATTAAGGTGCAGCACGTGGTTCGTGGCCAGACATTCGATGTAATTTACCCAATCGAATTGTAGGTACCGACCTACTGTTCTCTCCGCCCTACGGTTGCTCGATCGAGTGTGAAATTATTGGGAGCTTCAGGGGTAGTTTCACTGGAATTTCATCGAGTCTGGTGATAGAGCGGCTACTGAAATCCCATGTAGTTCAACTACTCTAAGACTCCGTAGCTTCTGGCTGTGGCTACGCCATTGGAAATTCCAAGCCCTCCCTTCGTCTCGTACTTTCATCCCTTTCGAGCTTCTTCGGGATTATTTAACCTAACGAGGATTCGAACGGTTCGATAATTTCTAAGGGGAGGCAAAGCTCCCTCATACGTATTATTGCAGACCAACCCCTAAAACAGGTAGTAAATTTTCTTTTGGATCCGAAAGATTTTTTTTATTATTACGTCAGTGGTTATTTATATGCACAATTATGCGGGACTATCGCAGCATCCGAAGATGATTTGATTATGGGAATTTATGGAAATCGAATGGACCGGATCATCTTACGGTGGTTGCAATTGGTCTGAATAGATTTTTCTGTATTCCGAAGTATATCAGACTGTTGGAAATTTTGTCGAATTTAAATATTTTTTTTTTAAGGGTGCGCAAGACTGATTGTGGCTCGTTTTATAAAATTAATTTTGGACACGTGAATTTTACATGTGGTTATGTATAGCCAGTGATAATAATGATGCTGTCAGTGTCCCTAGGGTTTTTTGTTAACGTAAAATTATTCGATTGCGATTGAGTTCTTTAATGAAAAACTACCGAAGTGAAACGGCTCAAAGGCACCGGGAACGCTTCGATGAGAACTGTTGACAATATCGAATTTACTTGGTTATTTTTTTCTCGTTCAATTCGAACTGTCCCTATTCTTCTTGTTTCCATTTTCTCTTTGTTTTATCGTCTATCACAGCGTCCCTACGTACACGGACATATTGTGTATTTCCTACAGACAATAGAACTTCATATATACTCCAATCCCCATCGTTTTTACGTTTATCAGTCTGTATTTTTAAAAATTTCGAGAATAAACGCAATTTCGAACCGTTTCCACCCACATTACGGAAAAAAAAGAAATTTAAAAATGTTTTTAATAATCTAAAAAAAAAAATAATTTTGAAAATTCATTTGACCCAAATTTTTCATTTTTAGCCCTGGGCCAGGTGATGCTCTACGTTGACGGGATGAACGGCGTGATGGAACATGGTCAGACAGTTCAGTGGTTGTACACTCTAATAGCCAGCCGGTTCAGGCTAGTTGTGAAGACGGCCCTGAAGTTACTCCTGGTGTTCGTCGAATACATAGAAACCAATAGTCTCCTCCTGGTCAGGGCCGTAAGATCCGTTGACACGTCCCGGGGCATGATACCTTGGACGAACGTCATGAAACTTCTCAAGGATTACGACGCAGCCGATACTGAACTCCTCATCTACGCCACGACCCTTGTCAACAAGTGCCTGAATGGTATACCTGATCAGGATACCTATTACGATCAGGTCGACTGTCTCGAAGAACAGGGCATAGAGGGCATCATACAGAGGTACATGTCCAAGCAGGGTACCGATCTTGATCTCCTGAGACAATTTCAAATCTATGAGGCTGTACTGCATCACGAGGATGGCAACGACAGAGGCTCACCCATACGTCAGCTGGATGATAATATAAGGTAGCGATGATTGGATTAATTAAATATTTTTATAATTAATTAAATTTTGAAAAAAGTACTTCAGATCGACCTCCAGTTGATCGTTTAAATGGGACTACTAGCAATATTCTTATGGCTTTGCAGGAAGACTCTACGCAACCGGAAATCACTGGTCGACTCTCATGAACGCCGGAAGTCACGCAGACACTCCACTGGCACTTCACCCCTCTCGATGTCCCTGAACGCCCGTTTAAGTCCTCGGCTCAATCACTCCCTTGGGTTGAATTCGCTGAACAGTACCTTGAACAACACCCTGAACAACGCTTTGCCTGATGATGATGACGAGTCTAGCAGCTCCCAGAGTTCACAAGGTTTAGGTGACGTGCAGATTAATGGCAGCTACAAAGAGAACAAAGGTGAGAAAGATTGTTTGGGTATAATATCTTTTGTACTGTGAATTGTTTTTATGCTTTGAGAATTTTCTTCAGTTTTTCTCTCTCATTTGGATTCTCAATGGTTATATATGCGGGGTCGTTTAAGTCATTAATATCTACTTCCTCTGATAAGACACTGAATTCATGATTGATGTTCATCTTGATGAATATGAACTTCTACGCCCACTTGGATCATTTGTGCTTCCAACCCGCTCAATCAAATTGCGGATCTGCTTGTTCAGTCCTGGAATTGCTCGTGTTACTTACAGTTGGATTTTCAATGGCTCGAGTTGTTTTTTGCACAGGTGTCATCTTGAAAATAAGCCATAACTTTTTATTGAATTATCGTGTACAGTTTTTGAAGATCATTTTTAAAACTGAAAATCAATTAGCGGTTTGTTTCTGATGAAATTTTCTTTATGAACTTCTTTTGACTTGTACATTTCTTTTGGATTTGTTTTTCTTTGATTCGACAATTTTTCTTTTTTTCTTTCTTTTTCGTCACAGTGGACGTCGGCGTGACGCCAGCGTTACGGCGACGTCGTGAACGCGCCGAGAGACAACGAAGCTTCATCAGGGAACAACAGGAAGCAACTGCCAACATGAGAGCTTCGATTGGACACTCGGATGATCAAGAGAGTAACTATTTTTTTTTCAAATTTAATATTTATTTCGAATGATCACCTGATGTTGTCAGTTCATAATGATACCAAGTTCATCATAATGCAAATGATCCTGAATGACCTTCGAATTTAAACATATACCTAGTTCCTTTTTACTTGTGAAATCTCCTAGGGAATTTCGTTATCCTGACTGTTAATACATATCCTTACATGGTACCAACCATAAAACTTAAATCCTGTAAAGCTTATTTCTATGAACGAATCTAACCAGTACGTTAAAGCCCAATTTTGCTGATTCACTAAGGTCATTGTTTTTCCTATCCTCTTTAAAGGTCCATTTGCCGCAAACGGATTGAGCTACGCGAATGGGTCTCCCTACGAGAGAAACGCGGATTCGCCATCAAATAAACTCTCCCGTGGGAACAGCCGTAAGGATCTGACACCGTTGATGAACGTGGCGAACAAGCTCGACTCCGAGGAGAAGAAGCCCTGGTACGGCAAGAGTCCTGACGAGGGTGTCGAGTGCGACGAGGGTAATCACACTGACGAGGATGAGGATCGCAGGGTGGTCCTTCAGCTGAAGAGGGAAGGTACCGTTAAGGACCTGACGCAGAAGCTGGCGGCACAGAATCTGATCCCGAGCAGTCCCGTCGAGGAGAAGGTGTCCAGGTATATATTAAGACTGTTCCAACCCTAAACCATACTTGACCTTGAGACTATACCTGAAGAGGATGTTGGTACAGTAGACCTCGAAGTCTAATGCAACTTGATCTTGATGATCTTGTAACAACTTAATCTTGATGATCATTAGGATAGGCGACATGAGTGGTCTCATCTCCAAGGCCAAGGAAGGTCTGGCAAAGTCAAAGTCCAAAGCGGACGTTCTGAAGTCACCAACTGGCGACAACCTGCCGAAGTTGGCCGAGGTCAAGAAGTCGGAGAACGAACTTCACTGGGAGGAGCTGGTGAAGAAGCTGGACAGACCACTGGCTCTCTGTGACCTGGACTTCACTGATCTTAACTCCGAGGACGAGATCGACGTCTTGAGTCCTGTCAACGTGGCTAATGGAGTACCACCACCACCACCACCCATGGTACCACCTGGTATGGGTGCCAGGGCGCCACCACCACCACCCCCTGGTGGGAGGCTGCCACCACCACTTCTCTTCGGGGTCAATCTGAAGTCCACCAAGTCCCCGACGAATTCAGAATCCACTAGCTCCTCCAAACCGTCCAGCCAGACTGCGAAGAAGAGCAAGAAGACAGTGAAACTTTTTTGGAAGGAGGTCAGAGATGATCCTATCATCTTATCTAGACTCGAGAAGAACAAGATGATCTGGGACGAATTGTCCCCGGTACCTGTTGACACCCAGAAGCTGGAACATCTCTTTGAAAGTCGTGCCAAGGACCTCATCACTAAGGTGAGTCAGGCCTGATCTCTATTAAAGATAATCTAACCTTGTAAATTATCTTAGATACTCCTAGCCGGTATCTCGCTATCTACAATTCCTATAGTACACCCAAGTACAAAAATTGTTTTCACATTTTAATAAATCCTCTACCGTGTTAACGATTAATCACCGATTATGTATTAACAGATTTAACATCTATATGGTCTGTATACAATTATTATAATGAAGTAGATACATCCAGTCTGAGTCAGACATTCTATTCATCTAGATTTTTACTCATCAGAGTACACGAAGATAAAATCACTTTGTAATCACTATCTTTTGACTTTTCCCAATAATTCCAATCCCTCCCCCGGTTTCCCTGCTTTTGCCAAAATATTTATTTCCTCTTCCAAGAAACCTTCTTTATCCGTTTTCCACCACCCGCGCACCTTTTCATCTCACATAAATCCTAGTCTGCACGGCATAGCAACCTACCGCGAACCACCCTTACCTACTACCATCGTTAACAGGCTAGCTTGAATATACAAAGTTACGTGGCCGGTTACTCTGGGGTTAAAGGGGATGATCTCTTTCACATTCAGTCACGCATCCCCTTCACGCCTGGTTTGCACGCTTCGAACTACGACTTTACCACTTCACTTGGACTAATATTACAAGTGTACAGTTCGTTACAAAAGTGGCGGACAAGACGTTTTGTCCAGTTTGAACAAAAAAATTTGGAGAATACTGAGGAAGTAGATTGTGCCAAATCCTGTTTTATGATCAGACAACGATTTTACGTACAATCTGTTTACATACACTGTACAGTACCTGCACGAAGTAACGCTTTTAATTCCAACACTCCCAGCTAACACCCTTAATCCAACTGGAACCAACTCCCAGATGCTACTACTCTATTTGCTACTCAAAATCGTTTTACTCTCGGCATTCGTATTCGTGCACCCTTATGGTAGATAGGGGATTCTTGTACAGGCGTATCCAACCCCCTGTAACCTCATCGAGTCCGACCCTTATACGGATATACTTGGAATATCGTAGCTACCCCTTTTTCTAACAATTTTTCTAGCGTGACATACAACCCTCGTTGGAAAGTCGGTTCTCTTTTGCTTTAAGGGTGGTAACCGTGGAAATATATATATTCACACGTACAACGTAAATCTACCCTCGAATCATCGTGTCAATGTCGTGTCGACGATTTCGAGTATTCCTTTCATCCCTCATACGTCCCACTCAACATCCGCATCCCTGCATTTCTTGTTGACGTATCTACCAACCCTTAGCACATTCATACCGATACTTTAGTCAGCCATATTTTTCCCACGTAGCGTTAGCCTTTTTTTTTAATATAAATAGACTCTTCATTTGATGGTACGTTTAGAAACTTCTTGCAGAACTTTATTTTTTAATATGAGCGTCGCGACGCGTGACGTCGATTTCATTTTCAGGGAATAAATACAAAAAAAAAAATTGTTGAAATATTCATGATCTTGTCCTAGAAAATCTGTTTGAATTTTTTTTTCGTGCATATTTGCGTATTATACACAGTAACGTACGAACAATTTTTCGACGAGTTAGATTTGCACGAAAATATCGAAATTTTCTTTTTCTCACGGATTGTCAATTTATATCATCCCCTAACCGCCCGTATCACTTCTCCAACTGGTGACGAATCCCTTTGGGAAGCACTTCCGGTTCTTTTCCATCTTTTTGCAAACAACTTTTCACTTTCGATCCACCCCGTAGTGTCTCCGCTACTTTTGTTCCTTATTTTCCTTTTTTTTCCACTCACGTACATGTTTCTTTTTTTTTTGACAAGTAAAAATATTTAGGCAAGTATGCTATAGAGTCAACAAAATTTTTTTTGGGTTAATACAGATACTGCTTATGTGACGCGCATGTACTTTTTCAGGTACATGCATTACACGTGCAGATTTAAATATTTCAACTATCTTGACTGATATAATTTTTTTGTTATCGTTTTTCAAAAATTTGAATTTTTGACGATTGTCAAGCCAAATTACAGCTGGATGGATCCCTCCTCTCTTTTGTCACTCTTTTATAATGGTGATGGTTTACATTACGCAAAACGACTAATACACTTCTTGTTATTCTTTGGAATATTGTTGGTGCTCGCACGAAATCAAAATGGCATGCTGAAATTGTACAGGAGGTGAGTCCCTAATTACGTAACTTTGGTCTTAACAAAATGACACGAGAACAGATGCCCGAAATAATGAAAGGGCACGTTTTCGTAATGAATTTTTCTGTAAATGGTGGCGGTGCTGCGTTTCCCCGAAATTTTTTTTTTTTTTGTAATTTTTCACATATTGTTAATTATTCTTTCAACCTCACTGTAATCTCATCGTTCGTCTATAATTTCTTCTCTGTGTGTGTATACGCTTTGAAAACTTTCTGCGTTCGCTGTCCTTATTTGTCGCCTTTCTTTTTTTTCTCTTTCCTTCTTTTTCCTCTTCTCGTTATAGAATCGAGTGAGCTCTTAATTTTACTCTCGAGTGGATACGACGATACGCCAAGCGTTTCTCGAATTGAAAAACTTTTGCCTCCTAACGAAATGGCGAAGAGAGAAGGACAAGGCCGTTTTACTGTCGTCGAATGGACCTGCCGTCGTTTTTCATTGATCCAGTCGCCGCTTTAAGAATATCGACGAATTGGCATATTGGATTATGACACTTTGTCAGTGCGTTTAACGTGAAGAACCAAAATTATATTAAAAGAAAAAAGAAAAAAATCTCAAAAATTTTTCCCTATCATTGTTTCAAATTCTAATGGCTAATCCTAATTGAAAAAAAAAAAATTGAATCAATTAAAAAGTATAACCCTTAATGCTTTAATGTAGTTCACAAAATGTAGACGTAGTTTGATACCTATTTATCCCACAAGCAGTAATACGTATACGCGTACGCAAGAAAACGTACATGAATATTGACTGTACGTAAAAAAATGTGGTCTTTGTGATTTTTGACACAATTTCGAAAAATTGCATGGGCACAGAAGCAGCAAGAGATGAACAAGAACAAGGAAGTCATCGTCCTGGATCACAAAAGGTCGAACGCCATTAACATCGGAATGACGAAACTGCCTCCACCAAGATCTATAAAAACGGCTATTCTCAAAATGGACGCGACGATAATGAATCGCGAAGGAATTGAGGTAGGTCAAGTGAAAAGAAATTTTTTAAAATTTTACCCTAATTATATTTTACAATTTTTTTTTTTTTTTCATCAATCATCACAGAAACTCCTGACGATGTTACCGACCGAGGAGGAGCGATCTAGAATCCAGGAGGCGCAGGCCGCCAATCCGGATCTTCCTCTAGGATCCGCCGAGCAATTCCTCCTGACTCTGGCATCAATTTCGGAATTGCCAGCAAGACTGAAACTTTGGGCGTTCAAGTTAGACTTTGAAAATTCCGAAAAGGTAAGTCCAGGGCTCAACCGAACCTGAGTCGCTATATACCTATAACCGATTTACTATACCGTATAGCCCGAACTTTATCAAATCCTACAAAAATGATTCTTTTTTCACGATTTCAGGAAATTGCCGATCCTTTGATGGATTTGAAACAGGGTATGGAGACTCTTAAAGTTAATAAAACATTTCGAGGTATTCTCAGCACGCTGCTCTCGATCGGTATTTTCCTTAACGGAAATGAGGTACGTATACAACATACATACGTGAAGATAATATCCTCTTAATTCTAATTACAAACAGTATATTATCATTTTCACAAGAGACGCCCTACAAATTTAACCCAAATATATTAATACCATTAGCATAATTAGCTGATAAATAAAAATTATTAAATTCCTACCAACACAATTATAATAATAACTACGTCCAGGTTGTAGTTACGATATTTATTGTTATCGTTGTCGTTATCATAAAAAATAATTAGTACACTACGAAACTTAACGTACTTCAAAAGAAAATCTTAGGATTTCGTTGTAAACAAAAATTTTGTTTCTGACAATTTCAATATTTTTTAATTTTTTTAAAAATTTTTTCTAGGTAAAGGGATTTCAGCTGGAGTACCTGGCCAAAGTACCTGAAGTCAAAGATACCGTTCACAAGCACTCGCTGTTACATCATTTGTGTCACATGGTCATGGAAAAATTTCCAGAATCTACCGATCTCTATTCCGAAGTAAGATAATTGAATTTCTAGGAAGTACGACCACGTGGGTGATTCGGATTGAAGTTTTGGGAAGGGCCGGAGGGAGGGAAATGACTATCAAGTTCCATTCAAGTAATATACTATGAGATTCGATTTGAACTTTTATCTTTGTGATTACAGATCGGCTCCGTGACGCGAGCGTCGAAAATCGATTTCGACGAGCTCGCGTCGAATATCGGTAAACTCGAGAGCGAATGCAAGGCGTCCTGGGATCATTTGAAACTCATAGCGAAACACGACGGCTCCACGATGATGAAAGTCAAGTAAGAATCGTTGTGCGCATGCGCGATAATAATTTTTTAAGTAACAAATAACGGGTGAGTTATCGCAGTTTGCTGGGCGCTTAAGTATAAATATATGTATATTTGGGTCCAAGCGTTTTGGCGAATTTTAACGATAAAATTGAGAATTACGTCATTATTTTTACACCCCCTCCACGTTGATAAAGATCCGCTTATAAATCTGAGAGTTTTTTTTTTCTATCGTAGTTGGCTCGCGCCCAAGCGACTATCCATTAATTACTCGAGTCGTTTTCATTCGATTTCTTTATTTTCCCATTTTTTTTTTGTTGCTTTTTAATATCTGCTCTTTTCTTCGAGATAAATTTCACCCTTAACTTCGCCCAATATATTTTACTCCGTACAACATACTGTAAGAAATTTTTTTTTTTTTTGAAACCCTATAGTGCTACTCCGTTGCAGTTTTTTCGATTTTGTGTATTTTTTATCGGCTTGACCTTGCACGATATCCTCTTGTCAATTTTTTCTTTGTTCCTCTTGCACAGAATGTCCGACTTCCTGTCGGACTGCGCCGAGCGAATAATCGTCCTGGGAATCGTGCACAGACGGATTATAAACCGCTTTCACAAGTTCATCCTATGGCTGGGGATTCCCCTGCATCGACTCCAGGACACGAAGCCCAACGAATTTTGCCGGATAGTTTCGGAGTTTGCGTTGGAGTACAGAACAACGAGAGAGAGGGTCCTGCAGCAGCTGGAGAAAAAGGCGAATCATCGTGAGCGCAACAAGACTCGAGGAAAAATGATAACCGAAGTAAGTCACGAGATTTTGAACGGAATTTCGATTTTTTTAAATAAATAAAAAAAATGTTCATCATCCGTATCTCTCGACTCATTCGTCGGTCGATTATCTCGAAATTAATTTTTTTTCTTTTTTTTTTTTAATCACGTCCCCAATCCCTCCTTGTTCGTGGCATAACCATTTTGAACGGGCAGACCGCGCCATTTTTGTTGAAGGTCGGCAAGTTCAGGACAAAGGAGGATCGGGCCGACGCCGAACTCAGACAGCTACTTGGCAGCGAGATGTCGGACGTTGAGAGCATCCACGGTACCTTATCATGGAGAAGACAAAGGAAGGAAGGTAGACACTAAATATCGTTTTTCGGAACGCTCGAGCCTGAAAAAAATACCCACCGTTCCAGCACGTAATATTTTCAAAAATTGATCATTTCGAAATGTTCCCCGTCGCCTACCCTTTTTTTCTATCTTTTCACCCCCTTCTTCGTCCCTCCATCCCCCTTCTTCGTATCTTTTCGAAATCTCCAAGGCGACGACGGTGTTCTTAAAAAAGCGAAATTGTGGCAAAGAGCCTCCCTTTACGTGACCGTGGAGAAAGGACGCGCGCAAAATATAATACGCCAAGACTTCCGGTGGCTTTATGGCGCCACCGTCGCATCGAGTCCTTTACGGCCGTATAGCCATTTCCTTGGAAAAATTTTCACGCCATTCTTGGACGACGCTGTACATCACTAAACTATCCTCCCTTTTGCTTAGCACCCTTACACCCCCCTTATTCTCTAACCTACTGCTTCTTATATTTATATATATATTTTACATCCCCTATCCCAACTTCTACCTATGTACCTTTCTCTATATTGTTCCGTACACAGGATCTCTCGTAAAGTTATCCCAAGTTACGGCACTGTGGCCCACATAACTTTTCTCTTTATTCTTATAGCACGTACAGCCGCGTGTACTTACTATTATGTGGAAGGAAAGTATAGTCCTTTGTAAGCAGCGTCTGACTCGTTCCTGGATCTTACTACTTACTACTGACTACGCAAATTTTCTTTGGATCCCCTGGCTAGAATGAATACCATACATATGTATGAACGTCCTGCGTATAAAGGGATGCTTGATCCTTTCTAAGGATATTGTCTCAATCTCCTTTATTCCTTTGACTAACATATTTGAAAGCTTGGAATAATTCCCGCCAGAGTGCCCCGCTTGAAGTTAACTTACCGCGTGTACCCTTTGAATGCACTCTTGTTACAAATTTTAATTCACTTCTTTTTGTAATATGGAAGAATCTTAATTTTGCCGTATAGACGTAATTTTTTTTATGTTCCACAAAATGTGGAATTGCGGTTACTGGAAAATGGAATGACGATGAGCTGGTAATTGATTAATTGGTAAAAACCAGGTGGATCATTTAATTAGCCCGTTTGACCGACTGTACGTTACGTCTGGATGACTGAGTTTTCTATTTTGATTTTCATAGTAAACTTTTATGTATTTTTTTTCAATGTTTCCGTGGTATATTATTTTAATACTTTTCTTTGAATTTCTCATTCATATCGATTACTGGATTTGGAATATATTTATATGGCAGATTCGAAGTCTGGTCACCGACGGAATTTTCTACTGAAACTTTACACGGATATTTAATTCAGTTTTTTTTTTTGTTTATTCTCGTCAGGACGCACAGCTCTGGGTCCTTTGTTGAGGGACGAGTCCACCAATGGCAATTTGACTGACGGCGACGATGAGCTTTTGGAATCGCTAGTGAAAACGGCGACGAAGACGCCAGCCACCAGGACGACCCCAAGAGAACGCAAGAGGACACGTCACGCCGACCGTAAGTCCCGTAAGTGCGATCCCCGCACCCTCCGCGAGATCTTTTCTTTTTCTATTCTTCTTCTTCTTCGTCAATCTCACGATCAACTTGAAGAAGTTACGGAAAAAGAAGATGACGCAAGGTACAGCCCTCGCGGCGAACTTGCGACGTTCACTGTGCGTCCCGACGCTCTTGCATTTCCTTCGTCTCGTACGTCTCGATTTTATTCGCACGGTAAAAATCCTCTTATCCTCCCCTCTTTCTCTTTGCACTCGCCTTTCTCAATTTTTTTTTTATTCTTTTCTCTATATTCTTCTCCTTCTCTTACCTTCTTGTACAAGATGCACGGTATCTAGTTCTTAAGAATTTTTATCGACGCATCCCTCCTGGCGCATTGTTCATCCTCCTTCACCCCTCGTCAACAATCCTCACCCAGAGGTTTCTCGTACTATCTTATCAGCGTATTTTTCTCTAAAGGAAATTCATTTCTGTACGTATCCATACAGATTCGCGATTATTTTTGCGAATTTTATAAATGACTCGCGGAAAAAATCGTCGGATATTTTTTGAATCGTGGAATAATTTTTTTTTTCAAAATTTATTCAATTGAAAAATTTTACCTTTCACTCGTACCGAATCTTTTTGATCCTTACTTCGTGATTTGATAACGCATTTGGTAACTCATGGAAGTCGGCATTGATGTAAAGAAAAATAATAATAAAAGATGAATTTTTGAATCGTCAACGGTCACGCAACCTACAGTTACTTTCGTGCAATCCAATATAGTCGAAAGGTACAGATAACGACAGAGAGAGCCTTGCGAAAAGAAGCTGTCAATCGAATTGCATTTCCTGCGAAGATTCTAACTAAATCCACTTTATCAAAGGAAACGAAAAAGAGTATAAAAGAAAGAAAGAGATTGGAAAGAGATGAAAATCCGAATACCTCTTACGACAGATTCTGCGAATGCTCTGTTCGCATGTAACGTGAAAACAGTGAAATCGACGAAAAATCGCAAAGACATTTTTACACTGTGAACTCGTCGGCAACAAGCAGCCCGGACGCTAAATAGATACGAGGATCTTTATTCGTTACTTTCCATCCTATGGATTTTCACTTTTTCCTCCGTTCCTCCGTTTTCCCATTTTCTTTCTCTCTCTGTGTTTCTTCATCCCCTTTCGTCCCTCCTCGCTCTCTCCTCTCTGTATCTCGCGATTCTTTCCATCGGACCTCGTTCCTTTTTTGCAATCAATCTTCCTACGACGTGAATAAATAATCCTCACAGGGCTTTCCACTAGACAGACATCCCCTACTCGCCTCACTATAGGGGTAGTTTATTTGCCAAGTGTATATATACATACCTAGAAAAAAATATATATATAGCATATATATCTATTTACATATTCATAAGCAGAAGCTCAGTTGCAGTTGCATTCATTCGTAATCCCCAAGGGAACTTCAGGATCACTCGACAGAGAAACCAACCCTTACGACAATATCGATTGTCTAATATTTTCCACCCCCACTGACATTCATCCCCTCCCACTCACTCGTACCTCGAAACCCAAATTCGAAAACAGAACAAAACTTTACAGTAATTTCACCCGCAACCCTTTTCAACGTTCGATCCACGAAACATCCCCTAAAGGATTTTATCACCTAATAGAATAAACTGCTATAGGAAACGAAGGGTCGGAAGCTTTGATCTTTATATATATATCGGCATATCACCTTCATTTTCATATATATATTTGTATTCAAGATTTGCTTTTACATACGTCCCTTTTTATCCTGAAACCAATGGCGATTCCCAACCCTTAACATTTCGACACTGTAATCCCTTCACAGGTTGAGTGCCTAATACCTTCCCTATCCTTCAATGTATTACGTAGCGGTGACAGCAACGGGGTGTGGTGATGGTTTAACCAGACGGTGACGGTTCTCTTATGGGGTGTCTCTGTTCTTCTTTTTTTTTCTTGCCGACAGTGAAGCGATCTCGCACCCGGGAAAACAACACCACGCCGGAAGGGTATCTACCCTAAAGCGACTCTATCGGTGTCGTCTGCGAAGAAGGTTCGCACGCTCAAACAATTTTCTCTTGGAATTTTTTTTTTCTTCTGTTTTCTCGTTGCCGATTTTCTTTTGGTTTGCCTCTGTCTTTTTTCTTTTCTGCGGCACGGTGTTATTTCCTGACGCATCGACGCAAAGCCATCGTGGCCACTTGCGACTAATAATTGTATTTGAATCATTCAAATTTCCCGCCGAACGAGACACTGCTTTCTTTTAAACGTAGAACGCATTTACGTAAAGTCAAAATTTTTATTGGTGTTTATAACTTGCTTTTTTTATACTTGTGATGCTTTTACTGGACTTTGTCATTTGCATGATGACGTCGATCGCAATGACAGTCTGTATGGGAAATTTGATGATTCCCAAGTGTTTACTCACTGTCTGACAGTAACGTGTCACGTGGTTTTATCCACTGACACGTCATTGTATCATTGACAGGTAATCATTTGATATACCTTGCTCGTCAGTGCCATTCTGCATGTTAATCATCAAGTATGCTAATCAATTAATTTTGTCAAAAAATCACTCGGTATATCGTATTCTGCTTTGACGTATCATTTTTGAAAAATTTGCACGTGTGCCTCTGTGTATTTATTTTTTTGGTCAGATTTTTATGCACGTCTCATGAATGCCAGGGTGTGATTTTTTTGCAATTTGTTTTTGTGTGCTGTACACCGTATACTCCTTTTTGTAGATAGAATCGAAATAGCGAAAATTCGCACTAATGGATTGCACCGGGCACCACCGCTAATTCTATTTGCTGTCGATAAGTTTTATTGACCTGGTATCAGTTCGACGTTAACGATAGCTACTAGGATCCATTAAATTGATGAGTATAATGAAAAATCAAATGGGGGAACCACCAGTACCAATCACGTGTAATTCCACGAAATTAATATGATGACATAACAGACTATTCGTGGGTAACGAGCTTGTATATTATTATTATTAATGCATTATTCGCCAGGCGACAATGGCGCACTCCGTCGTTTACGATATTTTCCAAAAAAAAAATGACAAACCGAAAAATCGTAAAATCGTTCTATCGCGTAATTCGTCCTAAATATTGAAAAGTGATATAAGACCATTAAAAAAAGCTAGATATGATTGTCAAAGTAGGAAATATATAAAATTTAAAAAAAATTTAAAAAAAAAATGGAAAAACTTGAAAGACCGAAGATAAATCGTTTTAACGATCTATCAAAGATTGATTGTATAATTATGCAAAATAGCCGTTAACCAGAATAATGAGCTTGCATTAAATCTGATTATGTAGACGACCTGCTACCAACAGTTTGGCTTAATAAATCCAATTAAAGTCTAAGATGAAATTGAACACGCGGTATAATAACGAGGGTAGGAAATGACATAAAAAAAAAGTATGTATATCCCGGAATGGTAGTTTGCATCTAATAAGTCTCTGCGATAAATTAATTAGAAGGGGTAGGAGCGAGGGGATGAAATGGTCGATACCAGGCGCGATAAATGCTTCGGTTGAAATTCGATCGGCCGCGTAATAGGCTCTGCCGGCAGAGGAGCTTCCAAGAGAAACGGGTCAGCTTTAATGATGGACATTTTGCCTGGCGCCACTCTCGGGCTTCTCCGTTGAAAGTTTAATTGTTCCGCGTGGCGGGAATTAACGAGGGGATCGTTTCGCGGGAAAATTCAAAATGGGATGATTCCAAGAAATAATTGAGAATCGTTTTCTGCGACGTGCTAAAAGGGGGATGATTTTGGGTGGAGGTGGATCGGGGGT